GCGCTGAATGAATTTTTTGCAGTTTCCGATAAGGCATCCCCCGATCGCTGATAAGCGGCCAATCACAATGCAAATATTCAAACAGTTTCCAGCTTAAAGTTAGCATGGAAGAAATTCTATTTCGGTTGATTGACCATGTGTTTGTTGTGGTCCGTTTCGAGTATTTTTAGACGACATTAATTTTCGGCAAAACATGACAGGACGGACATCGATTTCCACACACCACACAGCACCCACGAGTGTCAAAATCCTCATCTATTTCGATACGTAGGTAGCCCCGTCCACGAGTCGATGTATCGCACATCGCACATGTACAATTTACACGCTCTTGAGGGTGGTCTCAAATCCATACCATACCATATCATACCATACCAAAAGCCTAGGCAAACCGGACCGAACCCATTGATGTCGCTGTGCGCCGCCTTGGCCATCTGCCAAAGTTCCTGAGCATTTCGGTTTCTGAGTGGTTCACAGCATTTGGCATCGAGAATTATGAGTTCTCCGCGTCGAGAGTGCGAGAGTGTCGCCTATTTTTGAACCGTATTTGTCTTTTGTTGCTGTGCTTTGTAGCTTTGTATTTGTTAGTTAATTAACTGAATTTATGTGTCTGACGTGGAAAAATAGCACGCGGCACAGAATCGGAATCGGTTCGTTTTATTATGGCCATAGGATGGGCACACATAAATTTCATTGGAATTCCTTTCGGGAGTAGTCGCAAAGAAGTGTCAGACAGCCGCTCGAGTTTGAATGTGGCCGAATCCATTCAAAACCAAAAAAAAAAAAAGAAATTATATAAATAGATTCCGTCGTATTGCCCATTCCAATCGTCAATTATCGTGTGAATAACCGGAGAGGTTACATAGATACTTTGGAGAGTTCAGACATATGTATGTAGGTGCTTGTATGCATATACGAGTATGAATGTATATATATTTCTGATACCTTAACCTAAGCTGTTCCTGATAAGCATTTGCTTGCTTGCACACTAGAAATTTTCGAATACCAAAGAAGATTTAATAATAATAAAATAGGATTATATATATAGTATTTATTAATTGCTAATGTCTGTTGGTTAAATATTGCTAGCAAAGTTTCTATCCATGGGATAAGAAGTAAATGGAAGTACAAACAAAAGCCTGCCCACAGACTCTTAACATTAACCAAATTGCGTTGAAACAACAAACATGGAGAATGCCCATTGTGCTCTCCCCCCTTCAAAGATCATGGAATCTGTACAACTACAAATCACCTGCCAAGATGCCGAACCCCAGCACCACAGCAGATTCCTTGGTTTGGCAACCATTTCAGGCCATTGCAACATGCCACAGCGGCCCGCGGAGATGAAGTGCACCCGTGGTGTCGGCTATCTGGAGTGCAGTCTGATTTATGCTTGGGGCCTGGGGTCTGTCAGCGCTGCAGAGCCACATTTCGAACACCTGTGTTCCATTTCCAATTCCATTCCGCTCAAAAAGAAAATTGTTGTTTATACAGAACAATGCACAATGCGCCCTGGATATGCTGGAGAGGATGGTGGATGGGTAGAATGGAGTTAGGGGGTTGGGTAATGCTGATGAAGTTGCAAGTGAAGTAAGGGAAAAACTAGATCGAACTAATTCCAGCCAGAGGAGTGCGGATGTGGATGCGGATGCTTGTGGCGTGAGAGTCAATTAGTCAGAGGGCGATCCCGTCTGAGATCACTTATCGCATCCCTTCAAATGATCATTTGCCGCCTTGTTAATGGTTTGTTGGTGTTTGCTTTCCGCCATGAGAATTCCCATTCGGAGTTAAGTGGCCCGTTAGCACTTCACTGCCCCGGCAGGGGAAAGACTCTTTGAAGTGGTGCCATATGGATGCCAAGTACATCCACTTGAACCGATTGTGATCCCTGATGCGCACTTCCTAATTTTCCTCCGTTTCCCTTCACACACACACACACACAGATCAATACCAATGGAATCCTGACGTTCAACCTGGAGTTCCCTGAGTATTTGAATCAGCCCTTCCCACTCGAGTACCCCTCGATAGCCGCCTTCTACTCGAACGTGGATACATCGAACAGCGGCGATGAGACCTCCATCTCGCTGTTCCAGACCAAAGACCCTGCCACCCTGGACAGAGCGTCGCAGCTGGTGCGCTACGCCTTCAGCGAACAGGCAGCCTTCGAGGCGCAACAGGTGGTTGTGGCCACCTGGCAGAACGTCGGCTACTTCGACTCCAAGACGGACAAGGTGAACACCTTCCAGGTGGCCCTGATAGCCGACGAGCAGAGCACCTTCGTGCAGTTCGTCTACCCTGAGGGCGGCCTCAACTGGCTCCAGGGCGAGTCCTTAGGCCTTGGACTGCCCGACATCCGGGCTCAGGCTGGATTCGTGGCCGAGGACGGACGTTACTACAACCTCAATGGATCCGGATCGGAGAATGTAAGTTCAAGAGATGAGACTAGAGCGGAGGGAGATGGCCCTCTAATCGATTTCTGTTGCCTCTTTTAGGCCCGTTTCCTCAGCGAGAGCACTAACCTGGGCGTGTCCGGAGTGTGGCTGTTCGAGGTGGCTCCGGTGGCAGTACAGCAGAATGTGCGTGCCCCCGACAATGCCGAGACTCGTACAGAGTCGCCTGCCTTGGCGCAGAGCTGCCAGGCCCATGGACATCAGTGTCACGACAAGGCCCAGTGCCACGACAAGGCCGAGGGCTACTGCTGCGTCTGCGAACCGGGCTTCTACGGCAACGGCAAGGCCTGTCTGGCCAACGATCTGCCCATTCGGGTGACCGGCACGCTGGCGGGTGAGCTGAACGGCCAGCCCGTGGACGAGGAGGCCAAGCTGCAATCGTACGTTGTGACCAGCGATGCCAGGTCCTATACGACCATCAATCCGCTGAGCACGGAGCAGGGGGCCCAGATCCGCCTGATCCTGCCGCTGCTCACGACCGTGCCCTGGCTGTTCGCCAAGTCGGTGAATGGCGCCTCGAATGGCTACCAGCTGACGGGCGGCGACTACGAGCACATCTCGCGCATCCAGTTTGAGTCGGGAGAGACGTTGCACGTGAACCAGACCTTCCAGGGCCTCAACTATTGGGACCAGCTGGCCGTCAAAATCGAAATCTATGGCGAGGTGCCAACCATTCAGCCGGACGCCACCCTCCACCTGCCGGACTACATCGATGAGTACCGCTTCGTACGGCCCGGCGAGCTGCAGTCGGTGCAGGCGCATCAGCTGGAGCTGGTGGAGGAGAAGCGCATCGTTAGCTTCCAGGTGGACCAGCGCATTCTGTACCAGAGCTGCCTGCGCGACGACGAGGCCGACCCCACCGAAACCAGCGTCATGCAGAAGGTGTCCAAGATCGCCCTGGACTTTGTGGAGCGTGACCAGGCGCTGCGCATCAGCGCCATGAGCAAGATCGGGGTGGACGCAGAGTCCAATGCCTGCACAGATGGCACTAGCCAGTGCGTGGAGAACTCCGTGTGTGTGCCCTATGAGGATACCTACCGCTGCGACTGTCGGCACGGCTATGCCGCCCAGCTGGACGAGCGCGGCCTCGAGGTCTGTGTGGATGTGGACGAGTGCGCCCTGGGTACCCATGTGTGCGATGAGAACGCTCTCTGCGAGAACAATGAGGGCGGATTCACCTGCTTCTGCTCCGAGGGATTCCAGGGCAACGGCTACAGGTGCCTGGCCAACAGCAGCGACAGCACCGCCGACAACATCGAGTACTCCACCCCAGCCAACCCGCCACGGGAGGCTGTCGATTATCCTAGCTCCAATACCGAGACCGAGACTGCGAACGAGACCGAGACAGAGGCGGAGAATGAGGCCGATTCTAATGCCAATGCCAATCCCGATCCCAACCCCTATCCCTACCCCTATCCCAGTGAGGACGAACAGGTGCCCACACATTCGGATGAGTGCTACGTGAGTGCAAGGAGTCCCACCCTCGTCTGCTCAGTGATTACCTCTCTGAACTTCCCTCCTTACAGCGCTGCTCACCCAATGCCGACTGCTACGAGGGACGCTGCGCCTGCCGTGAAGGCTTCTCTGGCGATGGCTACCAGTGCTCACACCTGTGCGGCCATGACGAGGCCTGGGAGCGCGGACGCTGCATTCCCATTCTGCTGGATCTGGAGGTGGAACCGTCGTGCGACTTCTTCGGAAACTGCCTCTGTCCCGAGAGCTACCAACTCACCGATGATGGCACCATTTGTCGCTATACACTGGATGCTGACTTGGAGAAGAATGCGGACTTGGGTGAGTCTCGATAGCCTCAGCTCTATAGACCCAATCACTTGTGTTGGAGTGGTCTATGGAGTTTCCTCCTCTGGAGGGAAAATTAACTAATTGACTGACCCTTTGTAGTTCCTTGCGATGTGGATGCCAACTGCCATATCAATGCCACTTGCGCCTGGTACGAGCACGAGCTGCGTCACATCTGCACCTGCAATGCGGGACTCAGCGGCGATGGCTATGCCTGCGAGCCCATCGATGACTCTTGCGCCATTGTAAGTATTCACCTGACCCAATGCCCGATCGAACAGGTGATTTAGTGTGCTCTGTTTTTTTTTGCAGAAACCCGAGATCTGCGACGCCCATGCCACGTGCAGCTACAACGAGCCAGTGGGCAAGTCCGAGTGCGTGTGCGAGCGCGGCTACGAGGGCGATGGATACCGCTGCCAGCTGGCGCCGGAATGCGAGTCCTCGGAGCATTGTGGGGAGAACGCCTTCTGTGACTCGGGCGTCTGCCAGTGCCAGGAGGACTATGAGCGGGACGTGAGTGACAGGTGCGTGCTGGCCGGCCGTTGCGGAAGCGTCTTCTGTGGCTCCAACGCCATCTGCAAGTGGGACTCGGTGCAGAGTGTACAGTACTGCGACTGCCTTGAGGGTTATCAGGGGGACGCACTAGTGGGGTGCCTGAGCAAACCCACGCCCTGCAACGTGAGGAACACCTGCGGCATCCATGCCACCTGCGAGCCAACCGAGTAAGTTCCCCGAACTGAATGGGGCACGAGGTTCATTCTAATATTTTATTGGGTTTTTTTTGCGTTGCCAGGGATCCTGCCAATTACGAGTGCCAGTGCATCGCTGGGTTCCATGGCGATGGCTACGTGTGCATCGAGGAGCAGAACTGCCTCAACAATCCCACGCTCTGCGACATGAACGCCAAGTGCCACTCGACCAACTCCGGCCTGGTCTGCGCGTGCAATCAAGGTGAGTCCCGGACACTTCACTTCTTGGGCGGGGCCAGTTTGCTAGTTACGGCGACTTTGTCCTCGCTGGGACAGCACGAGTTGAAGAAGCAGAAGCCGAATATGGACAGGGCCAGCACCACGTTGAAGTAGCCGTTGTTCCGGTCCCATGTCTGGGGATGCATGAAGAACTGACGCATCGACACGACCGGCGATTCTGCTTTCTTCACATCTTCGTTTATGTTCTGAGTGAAGCGTCGGTCGGCCACAGTATTCGTCGGTCGGCGGTTCACCCTGCAGCCGGCACCCTGATTTCGCAGCGTTGCGGATCGCGCGCTGCTGCTGGCTGCCAGGCGCGGCATCTTCGTGAGCAGAGTCCTTATAAGACGCATATCGGGGCGGAGAGAAAGTAAAGGATCGCGTGGGTGGATCGAAAATGAAACTGGAAATTTATTTGGATTTTGGATAGCCGAAAAAATTAGTCGAGAATTCTGAGTCAGGAATGGAGAATGATTGAAGGGATTAGGCAGAGCCTATGTAGGTACTTTAATCCTTCCCTTGTTCCCCTCATTTCAGGCTTCTATGGAAACGGCTCCGTCTGCTTTGAGCGGCAGCAGCATGACTCGGACTTCCTCATCGTCAGCCAGGGCGTGGTCATTGTCCGTGTTCCCCTCAACGGACGGAATGTTCTGCCCATTTCGGTGGCCTCGATGGCCATCGGCCTGGACAAGGACTGCGTGGAGGGACGCGTCTACTGGGGCGACATCTCGGCCAAGAAGATTGTGAGTGCCAAGTACGATGGCACCGACGCCCGTCCCTTCATCACAACGGGTAAGATGCCTTAGGACCCGGTCTCTGGGCAGCTCTGCTTATTGTTTTTTTGTTTTCGTCATCGCTCAGACATTGAGTCGCCCGAGGGCATTGCCATTGATGTGATTTCCCGTCGCCTCTATTGGACTGACTCCGTGAAGGACACAATTGAGGTGGCCAGCCTTGACGATCCCACGCTGCGTGCGGTGGTTATCAGCAAGCAGCTGGTGAATCCCCGCGGCATTGCCGTGGATCCCTACAGAGAGTAAGCACGGACGAGAGATACCACCGAAGCTCAACGTTTCTCAACGTTTCCGCTCGATTCACAGGAAACTCTTCTGGTCGGACTGGGACCGCTCCTCGCCCAAGATTGAGTTCTCCGACTTGGACGGCACTGGACGCGAGCTGCTGCTGGGCCACGATGCCGTCACCCTGCCCAACTCTCTGGTGGTGCTGGACAACACGGGCGAACTGTGCTACGCCGATGCGGGCACCAAGAAGGTGGAGTGCATAGATCCCCAGAGCCGACAGACCCGCACCATTTCCAACGAGCTGTCCTATCCATTCGGCCTCACCTTCACCCACGATCAGTTTTACTGGACCGACTGGACCACGTGAGCACCCCATAGCCTCCTCGCCCCCTCTCCAAATGAGAAGTAATTAACGGAAATATTTTACAGCAAAAAACTGGAGAGCGTGGACGCCCTGGGAAGCCGCCAGAAGCCCATCCAGACCCCATTCTTTGGCAGCCACAAGATGTACGGCATGACGGTGGTGGAGCAGAACTGTCCGCAGTATCAGAGCGCCTGCCAGATCAACAACGGCGGCTGCACAGACGCCCGGCTCTGTCTGGTGAACCGCAAGGCACCCTCGGGCAAGAGCTGCAAGTGCACCAGCGGCTCCACCAGCTGCAGTCAGCAGCCCACGCCCTATCCCGGCTACTGAGTCAAAAGTCAACCAAATTGACATTATTTTTCGATACGTATACAGAACCAAACAAAAAAAACAAACAAACAGAGAGTTAAGAAACGCTAACTAAATTAAATTTACTAACTAGGAATGCCTGTGTGCCATTTTATGTAAAGCTACTCTGAGAACTTAATAAAATAAAAGTAAGCACCCAACCGATGTGGGTCTAGAAATTAAACAAAACTAAGGGATACCCTTTTTTGATATGAAGAGTCCGAAATTCTTAGATTAGACACATGTATCTAACACCCGAATGCAATTCTATTCGCTATTCCGAATTATTTCCAACTATATTTTGAGTTTATTGTGAGTTCTGTTCGGCATGCCTTAAAGAGCATCGATAAATATTACAGCAAGTTTATATTCTAGTCCACACTATAGCTCTAATGATGCCAATGCCAGATGCCAGTTGACAGATGCCCGTTGCCAGATGCGGATTAGTTAACTATCTTTTGTACATGGAGACATCGGTTCGATCTAATCTATGTGCTACTTAGTTGGTACACAGATACATTCTCATCTAAGTACATATGTATGTATGTATTTATGAATGTGTTTGTACAGATCTATGTGTGTGTATGTAAATAAGTATCTGCTGTGATATTAGGCATACTATATGTAAGCTTAACTAGACTTTTTATATTGAGACACTGGAATGCATTTCAACTGCCTCACCATCATCGGCATTTGTTGAGTAAAATTTCCTTAAAAAACTGCTTTTAATGTGCTTTAACTAACATTTTTTAGTGTGTAAAAGGATGTGTGTGTGTGTGTGGGTACACCTGGTATTATCTAGCTAATTGCTACAGAGGCTATGCTTGGGACATGTCTTCAAAATTCAAGTTGTAGTTGCATTTGCAGTTGGGTTTGCGTTTCCTAAGACTATGCTACAGGGCTGTAGTTGTGTGTGTGTTGTTTGTGTGTGTGTGTGCGTATAGCTCATTGAATTTGGTACAGTTGCCGACATTCTCAATGGTTCGGCGTCATAGTTTATGGGTATGTATGGGGCAACTACGCTTAACTCTATGGGTAAAGGTAGCACTAAGCTCTAGATCCTATCTTCTGTTGTATTGCGTTTAAATTCTAATAGTTTGTTTTTAGTTTTGCTCTTTTAATGCTGCCTTGAATTTTGCTTGGTTCTTAATAACTCTAGTGTATATATACAAATTCCTTTGCTTCTTTCTATATGTATATTTTTTATATATTTTTTGGTTGGTTTTTTGTAAAGCATTAGAGTATACCAAAGCCCGTTCCAAACTATGTTATGAAAACCGTTTTCCTTTTTTCCTTTTTAGTTTGTTTTTCTTTTTCTTTTCGTTTGTGTCCTTTAACTTGGCTTTAACAATTGTGTAAAACAATTCAAAGAGTTTTACAAAACATGGGATGTGTATAGTACATGACATTGATAGCACCTTCATATAAGTATCTACATATATGTGGTATAGTATGTATATGTAGTATGTATGTGGGAGGAATCCGAATTGGTTAGTCTACACCTAGGGTATGTACAGGGGGGCTTTAGAATTTTGATAGTTTGCTATGCTCCTCGGATATGGTGGAAACGAATCGGGTAGGGTGGTCGGGTCGGGTCGGGTCGGGACGGGTACTTAGAACTATGCTCAGATATACATATATGTACATACTGTTAGCTAAATCATCATCATCATATCCATCCAATAGTTTAACTACTTATCTTGTTCCCAAAACACAATTTGTTTGTGACTCAACTTTAGCTGATAAAGCATTTAATTATTATTCATATACTCGTATGTATATGCATGTTCCTTACAGACTTTTTCCTACTCTACAGTAAGTAATCTATCATATATCCGTAGCTTATACTTTCCAAATGAAAGGGAGAGGGGCAGGGGACTGGGACACACACCACAGACATTGGTTGGGGGTGGGTTTGGTTGGTCTCCTAATACTTTTTTTGTTTTCGTTCAGAACTTATCTCTACGGTTGTGTCTGTGTGTGCCGGCCGTATTCTATATCCATTTGTTCTTTGACATGGAGGAGCGGAGACGGCGCCCCCACATCAGGTTGTATCATACGATCGTTCCCTGCAGATGCTGCGGCGACGACACCTGCGACGACTGGGGGCCAAGCGAGTCCTGTGGCTGCAAGGAGCTGCCGGCCCCCGATGAGGTGCTGGGTCCCGGCCCCAGATCGGCCGTGTTAATCGCCAGCGAGGAGCCTGCGCCCAGCATGCCACTAGATCCAGTACCAGATGGGTTTATGCCGGAGCCGCCGCCCATCATGCAGGGCACGCCCAGCATGGGTGTGGGCTCCTCTGGCGGGGTGACCTGCAAGGAAATCTGATTCTGCCAGAGGCGTTAGACATCTGCAGGACATTTGCGTGCGTGACGAGAACTCACCTCCATGCCAATGCTGCCATTCAGCGAGATCTTGATGGGGTTGCTGTGGTTCGTGGCCTGCATCAGGGTGGTGAAGTGGCTGATGCCGATCTCCTCCAGCGACGACTTTCGCCGGCCATGACTGACGCCGACACTGGGCAGCCCTTGCCTCAATGAGGAGGATCGACGCAGCAGTATGTCGTTGTCGATCTGCAAGTAGAGAGGAGCAGGGAAATATCCACGCAAGAGTGGGCCGATCAGTAAGGGGAGCAAACCCAGCGCAGGTGCTTGTGATACCAACAAAACTCCAACAAAATTACAATACACATACACATACAAATTGGCTATTTCGTTAAGTTGAAGTCACACAAACAAATAGGCAAACACATGGAGAAAAAAAACAAGAATTTCAGCTCTAAATTTGACTCTGGTTCGGACTTCATTTGGTCTGTGATTCTGGATCAAGCCAGGGCAGGCATTTCCTTCTGCATGGATGCTACAGGCTTGGATTGTTGCTGCTGCTGCTGTTGTTGCACTGTTGTGGTTCTGGATGTTGCTTCTGCGGCTGCTGCTGCCTGTGCTTCTGCTGCCTTGCTGATCGGACGGGTGTTTTTTTTGCGGCTTAACTTTCATACGAGAATTTTGATGCTAAGTGTGTGAGTGCAAGTGCCGGCCCCGATTGGACCAAGCATCTGTATAGATACTTGTTTTGTTGTAGCCAATTTGTTAAGAACTTAACTAAGATAACGAGGTGTGTGTGTGTGTGTGTCTTGCATGACTGCGAACTGGAGCTGCAGACCATGGGTCTCATGGCCCCAGCCCAAATTCACATGCCCCAAGACAGCGTCTACACTGCGGCCACAGACAAAGTCCAAGGTGCAAGCATCGAACAAGTAATTCATTGATTTCTAAGCAGATTAAAAATTGATAAAACTGAAATCATCTGAGCTGGGTTACTGCCAAAACCTTCCAGATGATTTACAGCTATATATGCTTAGACCGTACCGTGGAGACCGCAGAGTGAGCTACGAACCAAATGGTTCCATCTGTGTGTGTTTTTGGTGTATCTTAACGGAAATGTAACAAACGAACGTGAAGAACGTGAATGAAATCAATAAACATAGAGAGAGAGAGAGGAGGAAAGGTGTGTGGGTATGTGTGGGTGGTTGGGTGGGTGGGTGGAAAAAGGAATAATAGCCAACCCGCAATGAGTTACTCCGTCCACGCTGATTGCCAACCACCGTCGGACTGTCGGGTAGAGAAAGAGAATTCGATTTAATTTGCTGCATCGGTGGGGTGTAGCGCTGCGAGGTTGATCCATACCCGGCCAAAGTCTGAACGCTCTGCATTTGCATTGGGTTCAAACCGGCTATGCCGGAGCCGCGACGCGATCCAGCCCCGACGGCGGTGTTGGACATGTTTTGCATCTGGGGCCCGCAAGTGGCGCCCAGGTTGATATTCGAGCAAAACGATATGTTCGACTTGCGACGCGAATTGTGGCGCTCGAATGTCTTTTGTGCCGAGAACGGCGACGGCCGCACCAAGTAGCTGCACAAATGAAATGGAAGAGAAAAGTCACGGGTGATGAGTGGTGGTTGTGTCCTGCCGGACAGATGGTGGCACTCACATGAGATCGCCCTCCTCCAGCTTGAGATCACAGCTCGGATTGATTATCACATACGACAAGTGGTTCCGCTTCTCGCTCACATCGTCGTAGTCATTGGTGGGCAGGTTCAAAGACTCCATGCGACTCCTCACCAGATTGGCGATCTCCGCGCGCTCGATCTGCTGTGCATGATTGTCCTTGGCCTCGTCTGCCAGATTGATGGAGTACTAAAAGAGGAAGCCAGCGTATTAATCAATAGTGGAGAGGTCTCCTCTATACGTATACGTAATACGTATACGTATATACTCGTATGTATGTTCGAGTATATACTCGTATTTAGCAAAGTTCTGGTTGATCCTGTGTGAATGTTGTTATGCTGAGATGATCGATGGTGATCCATCAGAGAGGTAGTTGTTTTAGTTGTTGTGAGACATGCTAGTGATAACAAAACTTCATGCTGCGAAAGCCAGAGGACGAATCAAGAATCAAGACGACCTACCTTAACCCTAAACCCTAAACCCATAACCCTTTAACCACTAAACGGTTACCATTAATCACAAGCCCACACAGAAACAAGCTTTGAGTTGGGTTAAAAGGAGACTCGAGTCGGGTCGAGTCGAATTGAGTAGAGGTGGAATGGAGAGTGCTCTCGAATCGAACTAATACTACTTACAGATGATCCCTTACGCTCCGAGCAACCGCCCAGACAGTTGACCGATTTCTGGCGCTGTGGCTGCTGCTGCGGCTGCGACGGTGGCCGAAAGCCGGCAGCCCCACCTGATGCCGAGGGCGGCGGGCGGTATGTGACCCCGCGCAGCATTTCCGTGGAGTCCTTGGTGGAGTCGGGCGTGCCAGTTTCCTCGTCGTACTGGGGCATGGATTTGTTTGGTGTATGCAAATTTTTCGATGAGGTTCGGTTAAACACAAAATGATTTACATATTTAATTGGTTTTTAATTGAAATGGCAAATCGCTCTCACTGTGTGCTCTCTGTGTGTGTTCGTATGTTCAGGTATGCATGTATGTATGTGAGAGAGTGTGATGGTGGTGTTGGTGTTGGCTTTGGTTTTGTTGGCCACAGCAAAAATGTTAACATTTAGGTTGTACGAGTATAAACATGCTGTGGAACAAGCGGCCGACGTAAGCACTTTTAAATTATGAAACAAAATTTAAAGAAACTAATTAGCGCGATTTATTGATCCAAGAAGCCGAAACACAAAAACATTTTCAAAACCAACAAAAAGGAAAATACCAAGCAGAACAGTGCGGGGCAAGGCAAGCTTTAGGCTTTTCCACTGTGGCAAATACTTTTCTTATATTTTTTGAGGGCTTTTTCTTTCTAATCTGATGAAATTTTAATTATTTGTTCTCTTCATTTTTGCCAATTATCCCATAGAGTCTTTCCTCTCGTCTCCTCTGCCAACTGGTATTGATTTTCAAATCAAGCAGACTTTTTTAATGAGCTCCCTCTCGACGGGCGATACAACATCTAAGTTCTAACAAACAATTGGTAGAACTTTCCATGCATGAAAATGAGTTTGAGGCAAGGCCAGTGGGTCGACAGCCAAGGCCAGACAGAACAAGAAAATGCAATCAGCTAATTAAAAGCGACATGCAAACAACACAAACAGCCCAAACAAACGGAAACGGAAACACTACCAGAAACGGAAATATAAACAGGAACTGAACAGAAAGCCAAATTAAATTGGAAAACCAAAAAAAAAAGAAAACCATGCAGCAGCCAACAGGTCACGCAGGACCCTATAGAGAAACATAGAGAGCTACTATGGCTACCACAGTCCCGGAGTGGCACATATAATACTACTACTACTACTACTACATGTACATACACACACACACACATGTTGGATAAACAATTGGTGGCCGGGAGGCCAATTTTTTCGGGGCGATGGGGGGAACTGACTCACTGCGTGCGTATGCGTCAGGTCCAATACAAACGCAATTAATTTTTTTACATTTTGTTTTTTTTTTTTTTACTGTACAACGGGTCGTATGTGTAATTTGTAAGTAATTTCATTGACCTGATCAGGAATGCTCACACAACTCTTGCATATGGTAAATGGGCTCCGTTCTGTGTTTCAGCCGAATGAAAAATGATTTTACTGCATCAAATTAAGACAAAAAGGAAAAGGTCGCTGTGGGAATGGACGGAGGGGGGTATTGGATCTGGCAGTAAAAATTAAAAAATAAATCCAATGGGGAACGGGGTAGGCAGAATCGAAACTGAAGCCAGAATCAGCACGCTATGCTTGCTTTATACGAGAGTATATACATATGTATGTACATGTATGTTTGTAAATAATTCAATTGAATTTTTTAGTGAGGATTTTACTTTGAGGGGGGAAAGTCTCTGGTAGTGGCATCAAGCATGAGTTATATATTGTTTAACCAGATCTCCCAATTACTTATACAAGAAGAAAAGGTTGTATATACTTGCATATACATATGTATATATTTATATGAAGATAGAGAGAGAGAGAGAAAGAAAGAGAAAGATTTTACGTGTTTTTTCTATGCGCTTAACTATACTGGAGGTTATGCAAAACTTTTTAGAATGGGCAGACAGCAGACTTTAGACTTAGACTCAAATGCAGTTAGTAGTGGAAATATCAAAGCGTAAGCGTGTGATTAAGAAATCAAAAGTACAAAAGAAAAACCAACTCAGGGATGGTGAAACGAAATGAATACAAAAAAATCAGAATCAGAATCAGGCGTCAAATGGGGCAACTGAGGAACAACTCAAATCGGTAATAGGCAAATAAAGGCTAAAATAGTTTGATTCGATTCGATTGGATTCGATTGGATTCTTTTCTTTAATTCAATTTGAATTCAATTTGTTCTGGTGTGTGTACCTAATCGCAACTCGAAATACGAATATTCATATGTGAGCAAGAGACAGAATAAGAGTTAGAGTTGGAAAGAGATAGCATTAGGTACAGAGAAAGTGAGAGGGAGAGAGGTAGAGAGAGAGAGAGAGAGAGAGATAGATAGACAGGCTATGGGTGAGAGTGTGTGTGAGTGAGCGTGTTAGTAGGGTTAGAAAGTGAATGGTCGGAATGGTCTGTCTCTGGAGTGGCGTGCCCCGAAGACCGACCCCAAGAGACCGAAGTAAGAGTGGGAGTAGGAGGAGTACAGTAGATTGGAAGCTTCGTAGCCCGAATCTTGAGTTGTTTGCTGTTTGCCTTTGCTTTGGACTCACCGATGGACGCAAGCGCACGCAATGCCTGCCGAAGGCCGAGAAGGGTCCCCATCTATCGACCGGCGAGTTACTCACATGTGACGTGTCCGCATTCGAGGTGTCCTGGGTGCGGTAGATGCCAATCGGTATCTCGCATGTGGTCGAGCAGAGCTTCTGGTAAAGCCGGCCGTATGTGCGTATCCACATATCCTCCTTGGTGATGCGCATCTGTGGGGAACAGAACAGGCACTCCATTCCATTATCCAGCCCCACCCCATCAGAGCCTGTCCGCTGGTACTTACCGAGGTCAGGAAACCGCTGCCCGGCGCTTGGTCAATCCCCAGCAGGAGGCGCACAAACGTAATCACATAATCCTTCACGAAGGCCTGGTACAGCAGCGTGTCCAGCATGGAGGCGCTAAAAACGGCACCCGCCGCAAACGGCAGACGGAACATGTACGAGATGTGCGATCCACGCTCCTTTTCGCGCTGCAAAGAAGTGAGCGGCAAATTAACCAACTGACATCTGCCGGTGGCAGCCGGGGGGGGCGAACTCGTTACCGACCTTTTCCATTTTGCTGAGGTGCAGTGCGTACTTGTCGTGGGCCCGGAACTGCATGAACCGCATATTTGAGCTCTGCGACAACTCAGTGATGCTCTTGATGCTGGGAAAGAATCTGCAAGGGAATCGATTCGGTACACCCACGAATGGCAATTAGCAAATGTTTCTGTGCGGTTTGCTGTTCATGTGGCAGATGGGGCACTCACTTGAACATGTTCTGCACGGCTACAATGGTGTTGCAGTCGGAGAGGGAATCCTCCTCGGCCGAGTTCGATAGCTCTTTGTTGACCACGACCACGCTCTCTGCCAGCGTGATGCCCGCCCGCAGGAGGTCGTCGAGGCAGTCGATTGATCCCAGCATCCAGTACACCTAAGTATCCCCCCCAAGAAATACAATTAGCTCAGCGTTTGAAGCGTGGCGTTTGGCATACCCACCAGGGGAAAGTAGGAGAGAGCGTCCAGAAAGGCCACGTCCGGACGTCGCTCCAGCAGCAGAATGATGGGATTGAGTGAGGTCTTCGAGCGGAAGTGAGCTCTCAGCGGAATGATGAAGTTGTATATCCCATTGGAGGCATAGTCGGCGGCCAGAATGATCGTCTTGTTCTGCCACTGGTACTCCTTGGCGTTCCTGTAGCTGCAGTGCTCGCATACCTGTGCGGGATTACCGTGTTTAGTGTTTAGATGGGAATGGAGCCCACCGAGTCAGTCGCGAGTCTCACCTGGGCCAGCTGCAGACAACAGAGCGGCTTCTTCTCCTTGAGCAGGAAGCAGAGCGTGGGGCTGACACCTATGAAGGGCGACACAGGCGGGAATCCCTTGACAATGCTGAAAATGCAGCGAGAGGCGGTGTTATATGGTGTGCGCTCCTTACGGGTGGCGGCGGGCTGGAGAGCAGGTGATGATTTGTGGGGGGGATGTGGATAAGCTAAGTGCTGGGAAACGGATACGAGCAGTGACATTGACTAAGAGAGAGAGAGCGCAGGCGGGGAAGAGTGTGGGGATGTGAGATCGGGTTCAAACTACAAAACGAGGTAAAAGCATTCACAACGAACAAACGAATTAACAAATGGACAAATGGAAAGCTGCAGATGTGTTCTCCTCCCCCTGGCATGTCCATGTCACATCCGATGACTCACTCCCAGAACGCAATTTCCACGGCAAATGAATGCAACTGAAGTCAAAAACAAGCAAACTCAAGACAAAGCAGAGGCAGAGGCAGAAGCAGAAGCAGCAACACACACACACAGATTTGCAGCAAACGAATCTCGCATGGGTACTATTCCGGTAGTTCACACGGCTTTTCCAAGGTAAACGGGGGCGTCATTAAAAGATGTCCTGCGGCAGGCAAACAAAACACTCCACAAGCAACACAAACTGCAAATACAACTGCAACATCAACGGCAATGGGCAACGGCAATGTCAACGGGCCAACAGTAACGAACAACAACGACAAGAACTCTTCAACAAATGGCGTCCGTAGAATGGCTTCTCTGCCCCCAGACTTACCCGGAGTAGTCGGAGGCCCACACCGGACGCGCCAGGCGACGCGTCTCAACGGAACTGCTCGATGTGAATGCTGCTGCCGCCGCTGCTGCTGCTGCTGCCGCTGCTGCCGCTGCTGCTGCTGCTGCTGCTGTTGCTGCTGCTGTCGTCGTAGTCGTGGTAGTGGAGGAAGTGGTGGAGCAACTGCAGGAATAGCACCGTTGCAGCTGCCTCCTTCGAGCCGCCAACATGGCCAGAGTCCCTCCACCCTGTCCCAGACCCAGTCCGGGCCCCAGACCATTGCGACACTCGCTATCGCAACTGTAGCTCTTCTTCATGGCGCGTCTGCGTAGCTCCGCAGTGGAGTACTCTTCGAGAGGGAGCCCCGGATCACCCAATGGCGGCAGTTGAGGCATGACATGAGCAGCAGCAGCAGCAGAAGCAGCGACGGCAGAAGCTGCAGTAGCGGTGGTTGTGGCGGTGGCATTGCATAAGCTGCAACTGCGCTGATACGAATCCTCCGAGGAGCTCATGATGAGCGAATAGGTGCGCGATTGGGGAAAGTGCCCGCCCAAGCAGCTGAGGCGAATTTTCGTTTTTCTTTTAGTTCGGTGTATATGTGTTGGTGAGGAGTGGGGGTGGGAGGGGGTGGGTGGTAGGGAGTCTAGTGCTTAAGTACAACATATAAAATTTACATTCATTGAGAGAATTCACACTCCAGAATGATCGATGCAAGACATACTATTAAGTGCCATTCCGTATCATCCTTTTCTGATTTAATTTCGATAGATTTCTGCCTCACATTCGATCATTCTGAATTGCAAAAATCATCTGGCTAGCACGAGCTATGTACATAGGGGGGATTTGACGCTAGTTTGGGATGTTCGGGTTAGTTTTTTTTTCGTTTTGGAATACGTAAATTAGTTTGCTAAAAAGTACAGTTAGTGGATACATAGACGAGGTACAATCTATATAGATAGAGACAGTACACAGGGAGAGGGGAAACGGTGCCTCGGATAGTCGGAAAGTTTGGGGGGAACAGGTAACACATTGTTCCTGCTAATGGTAACTGGTAACTGGTGGGTGGCAATGGAAATACTCACGCTATCTTCTCAGAGGGCGACCGCCAGGGCATCTCATCGTCAATCTCGTCGTCGCTCTCGTCTCCCTCCTCGCCATCGTCGTTGCCGGCAATGCTGAACGATGAGGAGGTGAACATATCGGGCACGGGCAGGATCGAGGGACGTCTGCTTCCTGCTCAGATATCAAATATACATATATCAGATTTTTGTGTGCACACTCACCGTACGCCACCCCCCAAACTTACCCCTTCGCTGGTTGAGCACATCCGGACTGAGCAGATTGGGATTGTTGCCGAAGGGCACATCCAGATGGTTGCCCGTGGAGAGCGAGGCTGGCGGTAAGCTCAGCGAGGTGCCCAGACTGTGGCCGCTGCCCACTCCGTGGCCACCACCACCACCAGAAACACCGGGCATGGGCATGCCCAAAGATCCGCCCATCGTCATGGGCGGTGGTGGCAGCGTCGTCGTGGTTATTGTGGTTGTTGTGGCCGCCGTCTGGGTCACCGTCGTGTCCTTGAGATTCTGCCTCGAGTCCGATATTATCACAGCCGTCGGATTATCGCTGGCTACAGTGGAGGAGGTGGGGAGGGAGGGAACGAATGCTGTTAGCCTGGTTAACCTTCCGATAAAGTCAGTTCGGATATCGATTGACATCGAATCATCTACTTGGGCGGTTGCTATACAAAACGAATATCCACTAATTTCAGCTGAGCGAAGAAAATGTGACAGCGAAGGGTGGGGCTGGTGAGGGTGAGGGTGTGGGTGTGGGTGTGGGTGGGGCTGGTAGGGGTATTCTACAAGACAAACCTGAGGGAAAACAACTCATTAAAAGTCCCCGACAGAGACAGACTGCACTGTCCGGGAAACTTTCGCCGAAGTGGTTAGTTAACGTGCAACTCTGCCAAAATGTTGACTCTCTCCTCTTTTGGCCATAGTTTTGGAATACTTAATTACAGGGCAGTACCGAACTATGGTCGGGGGGTTTGGTATGGGCATGGGTATAGGCATGGGCATGGGTGTGGGGTGTGGGTGGGGTTGGTGGTGGTTTAATTTGAGCGCAAAACAAGCTAAACTATATCTTTATTAACATTAAAATTTCAAGACACCGAATACTCCATGCACATACACGCACACATACACGAACACGAACACCAATACAAAAAAAAAACCAAACAAACCTAAGAATATGCGAAAGACATTCTCAGATGAAGAAGAAGGGCACGACGGAAAAGGTGGAGAGGAAGCTACCTACAAAATGTTCGGAAGTCAGGCAAAAAAAAACAGCGAAACAAAAAAATGAAGCAAACATCAAAAATAGTTTTGGATAGAAAAAAAGATGAGGCGTGGTAAGCGTAAACAAGCGTGAAAGCAAGTAGTAGTGAGAGGGAGAGGCAGTAAAAGAGTGTGTGTGTGTGTGTGTGAGTTTTTTTGAGTGTTTGAGTGGGCTTGATTGCAGCGGAAATGTATTTTGACATGGGTTAACACTTTGCAACAAATTTGACACTTTTCTGCAAACATATTTGGACTTCTGGTGAACACACCAGCTAGAAGCACTACTGACTCCCTCCCCATATTGTATGCACCGTAAAAGACGGTACACAGTAAACAAAATCGATTATAAAATGTACATTTATATAGTAAGTCTACTCCTTAGTATATTTCTGCTACACCCAAACCATAAAGGTATTATTCGAAAGCTCAGACCTATCGATCTATAATTATGCTCCAAATATACACAGACAACTGTTATGGAAATTTACTCCTTAGGGAATGAATTTCACTTTTCCTGCCCTTAGGGACTCGAAACAAAAGGTTGAAAGTTTAAATTAATATTTTGTACGTTCATCCCTTTTCTATTCTTTCCTAAAACTTGTTGCATAGTGCTATGGATAATGGATGAGGAGGCGGCTCAAGCTTCCAGACAGGAAGCTTCGCTCCAGGAAGATAGAATGACAGTTAGAGGGGAACAGAGAAAGTTGGCTGGATGAGGGTTATATTTAAGAGTGAGTGAGTGATAGGGAGTGAGATCAAAAACGAGTTAAAAGACAAAGACCAAAAAACGTATTTTTGTATTGCTTCATTTTTGCTGTTTGGGTTTTTTTTGGTGGGGGATTATTTTTGTTTTGTTTTCTGGTTGGATCTGGTGTCACACTCACGCACAAATAGTGATGCAAACTCTCCACTGTCTGGAGTTTGCATTTGCGGATGCGGATACGTTTGCGGATACGGATGCGGATGCGGATACGGTTGCAAGTGGGTCGTGCCGATAGTGCCGCCGCCACTCTCATAACTGGGACTATGGGGCACACGAACACAAACAGACGGCACTGGTGCAATGGTGGCGCCTGCCCCTGCCCCTCCTGCTGCTGCTGCGGCTGCTGTTGCTGCTGCTGCTGCGGACGGGGCAGATCCAGCATTTATTGTTGCTGTTGTTGTAGATGCTGATAATAATGTTGATGATGTGAAAGTAGTGCTTATTGTTGTAGTTGTAGTTGGAGTTGCTTGTACTGTTGTTGCTGTTGTTGTTGTAATCGATGATGGAGTTTTGGTTATTGTTTCATTGGCTACATTCACACACATAACATTAGATGATTATATGATGTACGAGCTATATACATACATACATACATAGTAGGTAGGTAGTGTGTGGGTGTGTAAAGTAAAAGCTCTATAAACCAGTGTACAAACGATCCTCGGACCGATAGCCTGAGTGTCCTGCTGGTACAGAGCTTTCACTGTACACATAAAGGAGTACAAAAGGAATGATTGGGAGTGTGTTTTATTTCTTTAAGTGTGTGTGTGTGTGTGTGTGTGTGTGTGTGTGTCTGTGTGTCTATTTGGGTGTGTCTGTGAGCAGGGGGTAAGGGGCTTATAGACATAACTCTAACCTAAAGTTTGCCAATCCCAAGTGATTTAAAGTTACGAAAATGTCCTTAACTATTTCTATTGTCATTAAACGGGAACTAAGTTCCTTCTAAGGGACATTCCTCTGGCAAACTGTGGACGTTCTTTTCAGCAGCACTAGTCGAGTCTATTTAATATTTAATATATATATATGTATGTACGAGTATGTATCATAATTATTTTTGCACAACAATATTCGTATTCGCTTTCAAGGACAGCTACAAAACATAACAAAGCGGGTGGAACCTCCTCTTGAAGGGTATATTAATAAAATAAAGGCGCAAGTTAAACGGCACCCAAAACAAATCGATTAAAGTGAAAAGTTTTACAAAATAAAGTTCGGGCAAGGTGAATATCATTAATAATCGTAATTCGAGCCAGACACGCTCACAGAACTGACACTGAAAGCGTTTTTGTTTCATTCAGACAAACCAAACGAAATGAAAAACTTGTGTGGGAGGTGGGGTTGGAGGGGGGAATAGTATACCAACAAAGAAAAACTTTGAACTCAGCCTCAACTCAAATATCAAGATAAAACGGGGTAAAAAGAGAAACAAAAAGAGGCAGCGAGACAGAGGCAGAGAGAGAGCGAGAGCGAGACAGAGCAAGGAAATTGTTGCTTAAAAAAAAGGTAAGCTTAAATGTACATAAATATTTAGTTATTTATGCATCGTACGAGCATATTGTATGTATGGCCGATACGGATATACACGGTCATTTATTCTCTGCAAGTAGTTTATAGCACTAACCCCATATAGAACTCCCACACACACACAAATACACACACACACACATCCATCCAAATGCTTTACCCACCAGTTGCAGCTGCTGGATGATGGGAAGAGGCGGAGGAGGTTGGAGCTCCTCCGGCCCCATCCTTGGTGGCTGCCGAGGGGTCCGTTGTTTGATTTTGATTAACGACAAACGCCGAGTTCTCCTCCTTGGTGATGCTCATATAATAGCACGTGTCATCCTTTTTCATAATGTGCCTGGGCCCCGGATTCAGGAGTATTGTGTCCTCATAGAACTCGGGCAGCTCAGCCGGCCGCACCCCCACCAAGGCCACGCCATATCTGCGATGGAACGGGTAAATGTGGGGTTGAATAAGGTTTTTGTGGCAGTTTAGCATAAATTTGATATTTGAATGGCTTGGCCTGGCCTGGGAATCGATTCAAAGTACTTACTTGCGATGCGAGTGGAAGCTGGCGTAGGTGAAGCTCTTGCCCTCGTACTCCCCGAAGAATCGACTGTCGCCGAGGACAATGTGATAGATCTCGTTGCCTGAACACTTGCCATAGAGGCGGTGCCAATCCTCCGGAGATTGTTGGCCCTCCCTGCCGAACGAAAAGCAAAAGAGATGTTTGGTGTTGTCTTTGAGGTGGAACTTCACTCATGAACCAAATGCATTAGTCATTTGTCTCATTTGGCCGGTTTGCTCAACCTCCAATTAGCATCGAGTGTCGTTGGGTTTATGGTTTGGCGTAACATCTGATTAACTTGGCTTTGCATGCCACGACCGCAGCACACGAAAACTAAAAGCCGCGTTTAATTGAAGGCAACCACAAACTCACAAACCTCACCACTTACACTTCACACTTTCCTCCCCTGTTTACTTTTACATGACACAAGTGGCATTTAATTAAAATTCTCAATTTTAAATGGAATTTCCATGTCATGTACAGAATATGTTAGTGCTCGAATCCCATCTCGTCATTCGGTACTACTTAAATTGAATTGCATTTAATTCGAGAAGAGGAATGTTTCTGAACTACAGAAGAACTACAGATCAATTGCGTACGAGGACACTTACAGTAGACTGCATTTAATTACACCATGAACTCACAGCCCAAATCAAGGCCTCTACCTACATACAGGTCCCTATCCCCTTAATTCCACTGAAACTTGCTGAACATTCAATTATAATAGTTGATAAACGTGCCCGACTGCGTCGTAATTCCCTTATCCAGCGTAAACATTCCACTAGCCGCAGGCTGATCCGAATTAGCCGACCACAAACAAGAAATGAGAGGAACGCAAAAAAAAAAATGTCTGAATGGGCAATCAAGCGGCATGGTCAGCTCAGCTCAGATCAGCCAACCGACCGACCGACCGAACTATGTGGCCCTGACGCATCCAAGCGAAACGAACAGATGACGCACGTCAGATAGACAGACGACTTTGCATGTGTGTGCTTAACTGGTTAACAGTTGACCTGGCCCAGAAGGGGCGCCCCTTCTGGGAAATGCCATACGTACTGTCCGCGTGAGGTGTGGAGCAGGAGGGTGACCAGAGTGCTGGCGCCCGGGCAGGTGCAGTTGTTCGCCAGCAGCGCATACTTGAACTCGTCCTCGCAGACCACATGCTCCGCGAACTTCACATGCAGCTTGTGCTCCGGCCTGGCGATGTTAAAATTGGATTTCCGCGGCATTTTCAAACGGTTGGATTTGGTGCCCAGATCCGATTTCCGATGGGTTTCGTTTGGCGTGTGCAAATAGTAAAAATTGAATTATTTCGTCCACGATTCCACCAAACACGAATGAGGAAGAGGGGCAGAGAGGAAACACACACTACCCACCTGAAAATCTGCACATACTGCGGCACATTCGGCGCAAAGTCCTTGACCGCCCAGGAGCGTAGGATGGTGTGCTCGTCCGCGGCCGTCTTGTCCGCATAGTTCCTGGCCGCGAGAATAAAGCACGCCTCCGCCTCGTTCATGCGCGCCCGTGCCAGGTCGCCATCCTTCAGACAAGAGCCCTGCCCGAAGAGAGAAAGGGCACAGGTCAGTTTCATGACAGAGAGATGGGCAGTGGGAACGGGACGGGGAGCCGGAACCAAGTCACACCTGAATATAGATGACACGCTGGGCCCAAATCGGCACCTGTAGAATCATTCGCATCGTCGTGTCCAGCTCCATGGGACTGAGCAGCACAACGTAAAAGTCCTGCAGCAGGGGATGGGCGTAGAACTCGTTGAGGAAGTCCATGATGGTGTCCGCATGTAGGGTGGTCGAGCAGACGACCACATGCTTCTCGCTCTGGGCCCGGTGTGAGCTGTAGCTGCCGCCCAGCTTCTGGCGCTCCATCCAGGTGAAGGCCAACTGCTCGAACTGCAACGTGAGAGTGTTATCAGATTTATTCGGTATAAGTCAATTGTCACGCATGGCAAATTTAATTGCAAAAATCCCAGGAAAGACTCTCTCTCTCGCTCTGTGCACTTTGTCCGTTGCTACATTTTGGTCTAAAACACTTGCAACCTTTTCGTATTTTTATGGGGACGCAAAAGGTCATAAATCCAGCAACAAAATTGACATGCACTGGGAGTTTTTAGTGCTGCTGGCCGGTTTGATTGATGCTCGTGTTGTTTGTTGCTCGGCCAAATGGCTCACTGGTCAATCGATATGCCAGTCATATTTTGTACACCCTTGCCAATGGATATTATCCGTTAAATGGAAACTTGGCCCGATCAAATGCAACTTCATTTGACAGCGGCACTAACTTAAGTTTCTATCATACTCGAACCATTCCATATTCTCTTCCATTCTTCATTTTAGACTGTCAGGTATTCCTGGACTTGTTCTCCATAGAGTATTTTTGCAAGTTGCAATTTGTGACTCCGATACCCCAACTTGAAAAGCGACTACTCTGAAACCAGGCCAGTCTCTATAAAATGCTGCATTCTGCTGTTCCAAGGGTGTGCGGGCTTCGGTGTTTTAAGCTCTGTTGCCTTCGAGCATTTATTGTTCTATGGAATTGCAACTTCTACGCCTGTTCATCCCTGTTTTTGTTGATAAAACAATTGTTTGCAAATTGTTGAACATGGCAGCTCGTCCGGCAGGGTCGGACATCGCACAGACTTCGCACAGCGCACTGATAGGACGGGAGAGTCAGTCAGACAGGCAGGCGGTAAAATGGTAAACAATTTCCATTGACAGCATCCATACTTATTAATATCGATTGATGACCAAAGTCTTTCGTCTTCTCCTCCCATCTGCACACACACACAAATGATGGATGAGGATACGGCTCGTTCTGGCTTATGGAACATAAATATTTAATGTGCAGTTTGCTGGACCATATCATATATCATATATTAGCTTCTCAATGGAACTACTTGGCAATGGATCCCGCCTCATTCAGTCGAATCCCATGACATACCAATGCATCGCCTCGCATTCCATTCCATGCCCCCATTATGTGTGTGTGTGTATAGTAGACTCACCTGCGTGGGCAGCACAATGAGGGCTACACAAATCATGATGACCATGTACAGCTGGGAGGGCCAAATGTCCGGAACAAAGTCGCCGTAGCCCACTGTGGAGAAGGTCACAACCACATAGTACGTGCTCTGGAATAGGTTCAAGTGCCGATGGCCAGCCCGCTGGAAGTGCTGGATGCCACAAACGCTGAAAGAGGAGCACAACAATCGTTGCGGGATGCCACAAAAGGGATTCGATTCATTGCTGTCCTCACCTGGTAAACACCAAACAGAGCAGCGTCGCCGACAGGATGGTCAGCTGCTGGGACAGCGCTGACTGAGACTTTTGCATGGCCCGATGAAGATCATTCTATGATGGCAGATGATGGCAGGTGACGAGAATGTTGCGTTATATGGCAATGGAAAATTGGAAACCGGAAAATTGTTCTACTCACAAACATATTCTCCAGCGAGCGCTTGGCCAGCCAGCAGTTGAGGAAGATGGGAATGAAGAGATTCCGTAGCGGAGGATGAACGATCTGGAAGGGTGGTATAAACGATAAATCACAGCTGATTGAGAGGACTTCCCGTCTCCACCTTCCCTCTGATGGATGGACTTACCGTTAGTGCGAAGGGTATTGTCGTTACTAATTCTAGTATAAAGTGAAATGAGAGTATCTGCTGCCAAATGTTGCCCTGCAAAAGACAAGTGTGAGACGAGTCCAGATTTCATTGGGTGGGCACTACTCGCTCACCTTATAGCCTAGATATGTGAGAACCAGGGATTGCGTTAGCGACACCATGGCTAGGAGCAGCTGCAGGACCCACAGCACCGTCGGCCTGTTCACCCAGAGTATGGCATCCCAGTTGATAATCGGACTCTCTTGGAACTCCTCCTCCGTCAGTTTGGCCGAGATGATGAACTCCGTCTTATTGCCCACCTCGCAGCCATAGCTGTGGGGGGTGGGGATTGCCATCAATCAGCAAGGTATTCGAAGCATTGAATAGCACTCAGTACTCACCAAGTTATAAATGTTGGATTCCTATCCAATATCACACGTATTATGTAGAGAACACACGACAGTAACTTAAGGAATAAATCGGCAATTCGTATGCGTAAGCCTTTTTGTGTGGTGCGGTGAGCAGCGGAGAGAAGTGGAGAAAATCATTAGAATTTGGGTCAATTCATTGAATGCGAATGTTTGCCGACGGGGTGGATCCCACTCTCGTGTCCTCGTGTCCTTCTCCTGTTCACCTGCTCAATTATTTCCTTTCCAAATCAATATTTACCCTAGATTATTGAGTTCTCCTTTGTAATTTCTTTCTTGTGTCTTGCTGTCTGTCTGTCCGTCTGTCTGTGTAGCTATACATAAGTGTAGGTTGTGTGTGTGTGAGTGTGTGTGGTCAGTAGAAGTTTTTCGTGTTGGCCTCTTGGCCTTTTGGCTATTTCCCATTACCGGAATCACTAATCAAATTCAATTAAATGCTCCATCTTGTTGATTATTTTAATCAACCCAAATATTTAAGTTAATTCAAAGATAATACATACACATGTATGTATGTATATGTTACTCCCAGATAAATGTGTATACGGGGTGGGGGGTGGAACTGGCACTTACTTGAACGCTGATTCTTAATGAAATAGAGTTGCAGTCTTTCTTTAAATGTGTTTTCATTCACGTAATACTCCACACGAACTCTGCAAAGACGCAAAAGAGGGAATTGTTAACGTTTGAGAACTAAATTGAATTCGAATAAAGCCTTTCTAAGAACTAGTACTTAGAGCTGCCTCCCTCTCCCTCTTCCACCATCCACACAATTCAATTGTCTCCTCCGGCGTCGCTGTGCCCGCCCTGCACTTGACAATTGATGCGCTTACTTATCATATTAGGCGGCGCAGCAGGCCGCACTCCACACCTCTAAGGCTCCTGGAAGGAGAGAGCTACTATGCGGAGTAGTCGGTGGCACGTGGCAGCCGTGCACACACGTGGCTACCTTGGTCGCGTTGATGCCACTCATGGCCAAAGGGCGTCTGTGAATGGCTGCTCCTGCCCTCAGTGGGGGATAGGATCTGGTCTTCAATGAACGTCCGTCCCTGTCAAAGGCTTTCCCATCGATGTGTAAGTGCATGAGATCAAAGGAACCTGCTGGCTCGCCCTCCGTTCTTGCTCCACTTGATGCCTGCTGCAGCACATCCGCCAGCACATCGTCAGAGCACAGAGAATGTATTTAGAACTAACGAACACATGGCGTATGAGCAACAAGACGCCAAGGAACGATTATGCGACAAAAGCCCAAAAGGATGGAAGGGAAGCAATGAAAAGGTCACAAATCAAGCGCAGAATCTTTCCATGAACCTCTTAAGTTCTGCATCAAATATGTCTCCAGCTGGCAGACAGGCCACAAATGGTCCACTCAGTTGTAGAGTTGGCAGCACAAGGAAGCAGCTACGAAAGAGCCAAGAGCATATATAACACGAGACACTTGACTGCAGCAGACATCGCTTAAAGAGGGGAGTGGGAGTGGAGGTGCGGGCAAAAGTCGGGACTTAAGTAATTAAAAGAGCATCTTAAAGTACAGACCCAGCTAGACAAGGGAACAATTCAATTAACTGCTTGGCACCTTTTGTGGCTCAGCCAGCCTTTGTTCTGTCCTGGTTCACATCGGGGATGGCATGCCCTCGTATTCCGGGGACTCGGGACTGCGGCTTAACTCATTGTGAGCTGTGAATATTCATTTCAAGGTTAACGCACGCTGAGACAGCCCCGGGAAAGACTCTGTGCAAGAGACACAGAAAATAGTTCAAGTTGCTCCCGGCAGCAAAGGCACCTTGGGGGCCATTCAAAAGCTGAGGACGATGACTGCACCGATGAGAGCGTGGAGAAATTAACGAGCTTCGCCCACACTCATGCACATCAACAAACCATAAACACACTCGCAAGTGACCAATCAGTTATGGCCAGGCCAGAACAGACCAAGAGCCACTGCATACAATCAACTCTGACCTCCCAGAAAATCCTAGCACAGTGGAATGAAATTTTCGGCTGACTCTTTTGCGGTTTGTTTCGGCGGGTTCATTCCTCCTTTCTGGCCATTGAACGCGGCAAAATCATTTGCCACATGGCCACAAGTTTGGGCCAAGACCCGCCAGAGGGGGAAGCGGAGAGCGAAGTAATCGCTTGTCACTTTGAGTAGTTTCCACACCGCTTTAAGGCTTTCAGCACCGAACACAGAACACCGAAACCACAGCAAAGAACTTTGCAGGGTTATGGTTGCCTCTAACGTTCTCGTTTCGCCAGATCCAAGCTGAGCTGCTGCAATCAAAACTAAATAAATATTCATATGGAATATGCATGCCAAATATTTGCATCAAAAAATAATTGTGTAAACGTATGTAACAGCAACAGCAACAGCGGGTGGCAAAATGCTGAAAGGAATTCCCTTTTGAATGTGACTGGCTGCGGTGGCAAAAAATTCAATTCTTTAGTGTCACAAAAATTTAATAGATTTAATAAAAATTTATTTGAATTATTTGAATAATATATATAAATATTGATGATAAATAAATTGAGTTTTATTTTCCTTTTCCGAGTCGTTTTAAGCAAGTTTTGAGAAAGCGAAACCAAATTTTCCCCCCTCTTTTCTTTTAGTGTGTGTTCGTAGCCTGCAGGACTTTATTTTTCTTTAAAAATCTATTATGTTCTCGGCCTGGGGCTGAGCCAAGCCAAAGACAAATTGCACGTTAATGTGTTTTTGTTGTGCCATCATTGGATTATCCATAGATATTGAGTTTAAAGCTGAAGTCTTTTAGCTATTACCGAAATGGGTAGCGTCGCCGGAGGGGAACTGCTGAGATTGTTTTACCTTTATTGATTTTTGATTTTCCGCTTTTTGGAAGGAAATTTGATTTAATTTCGCTCGGGTTGGAGGCTCGAATTTCTGTGTTCGTGCGAGATTTGATTACAACCCAGCCTTGATGAAATTTAGCTGGAAACGAAAGCAAAACATTAAAGCCAAGCGAATCAAAGGCCACAAAGGAGTCCTGGCTGGAGCTACAAAAATACCTGGCCCTGGCCCTGGTCCTGGCCCAACAAAGCCAGCAAAAGCTTTTGTGGGTTTCCGCTTGTGTTCTACACAATGGCATAAGCAAAGAACCAAATGGGTCCTTTGTCCACTCTATGCGTGGTGTAGGCGGCGGCAACAAATTGCATTCCTGGGCAGGGCCGGAAAGAGGCCGAAAGAGTTCCAAGAAAGCGTTAGCCCCCTCTTATTTTTGTTTCGTACACGTTTATTGCTGTCTTAATGGTCCCTCTCTATTGTACTTCTCTGCTCGAGTATCCAATAATTCCACCGTCCGAAGGACAGGCAGGCTGCATTGATTGCCTCTCGTAAAAGAGTAAACTGCTCTCCCAGTGGCCTTCACCAAGGAAGTTGTTACTTGACTTAAAGCTTAAATTTGAAGAGGATGCGTTTTGCAGGGGTAAGGGGATTTGCAGCCGGCTTCACTTCTATTAAGTATTTATAACGTCAGTGAGCATCGCTTTGGCTCCGCCGTTTGCCCCTTACGCTTTTAGTTGGGGCCTAATTCGATTATGATTCAACACCTTGGCAGGCTATCGAGATGCCTTGCTGCTCCTCGCTCCTCCTCCTTTGACCTATTAATGGCAATCATGCTGTACAGGGCCCTCAAATCGAATTTCGAATTGAGTTAGGGCAACGCTGCGTGTACTTGATTTCCTGCTTCTCTCGGCTTCTCGGCCTCTCAGCTTACCTGGGTATTCGATCGTAGGAGTCCCATGACGACAGACAATTGTAGGACGAGTTGCGACTGTTTCCCGCCATATTGCATAATAGATGTTCCATTGGCTCAAAGGCACAAAAGCACGTAGCACTTTAGCTAATTTCAGACTCTGAGCGCCTCGTCGGATTGCATTATAGTTGTGATATATATATCTATTTTTGATTTATTGCTGGTATGTTTTTAAACTAGTTCTGCGAGTCACAATGAGGGGAGGGGGTTGGGGTCACACACACAGAAGCTTTAAGAGTTTGCCGCTCCAACTTTAATCAGAATTGATTGCCCTGGCTCGGCAATTAATTTTGTTTTGTTTGAACACGCAATTGAGGACAGAACCCACACACACACAAACACACACACAAACACACACAATCGTTGGCAGACACTCGCACACTTATTTATAGCTTGTTTAACATGATTTTTTGTTGGCCGAGTGGGTGCTGTTGTTGTTGCGGTGGCCATTCCTCTGCATGTATGTGAGTGTAGTTTGTATGTTCCTTGGTCATTTAATAAATTTATTGCCCAAACGGCCATAGCCTTGAAAAGAAGGAGCACACCGGAAAACAGAATGGTGGTGGTGGAAATTGAGCCTGCCATTAATTCCCCTTCTTTTTTATACTTTTACATTATCTGACATTGTATTATCACATTCCTCTTCTTTCTACCATCAATTATTAAATTCATTCCATTCATTAAAGTTCATGCATTGGCAATAATGCATCGCAACCTTCCCCCCCTTTGCTTATTGCTGTAATTGTAGTCGTTTGTTAATCCGGAACTCGTTTGGAAATGCATTCACATTTCAAGGAGGCTGAATGCAATTATTGTTGGAAGCCTTGATTGATTTTTATAGCATTTTAATTGCATATTAAAGTCATATTAAAGAGAGATTTTCGCAGGCTTTGGTGACCCCGAACCTGGTTTTACTTTAATAGAAAAGGGCAATTTTTCATCGAGTGGAGTGGCCCCCCAAAGAGTCTATCAGATTTATGGCTTTCGACACTCACTGACAGACAGAAAGCCAAATCATTAGACGTGACCTGAGTAGACTCGCTAAGTGACACATTGACGAATGACGGGACGTGAACAGGGACATGAATTGTCACAGTCAAAGGACACTCCGCGATTGTCCTTCCATGACAGCAAATTTGATTCCTCAGTCTTATCTTGTCTTGTCTTATCCTTCTCCTACGAGTATCTTTAATTTACATTTTTGGTCTGGCAGCGGCTGCTGCTGCAGTTTATGGCTTTTGCCTCGCTGGACTTGCTTCTTGGTCTTAGCTCGGGACTTTCAATTAGAAAACGGAGAAAATTGTTATCCTTGTCTTGCCATTGTGTCTGTAGTCTTTGAACTTTGAACTTTCCTTGCCACAACGACAACGACAGCCAGTGAGAGCAGACTCTATGGGTGCTGATTGATTCACGTCTCCAGCTTTTTGTGCTCCTTAATGCAGTTTTTCCGTGCCATGCCCCTGCTCCACTCTCACGTATCCGTTCTTGTTCATTCCGTCCCCCAAATGCAATTTGCATAGCAACGGTTGGGTCTTGACTGGCTCTTGAATTATTTAGGCATTCGAAGTGATTAATCGAAGTGCTTTCTTTGGAAATCCCGTGCGTGTCTGTCTGTGCCGACGGCCTGCCTCCACATCAAGTATACGCCCTGCCCTGTTTTGGGTAATCATAATGCAGGTGTGATGTGGCGCTATTTTTTGATGTCACTGAATCGTGTGCGTGGCAATTACATTAATTGGCCGGCCCCATGTATAAACCTCTTTTTATGAGCTTCCAGTAGCGGCACAGGCACAGGCAGTTGTGGTCTCAGGGGGGTAAGTAACCCAAATTTCGAATTTCTACTTGCAAAACCAACTTGGAGAACAGCTCCACTGCAGAGCATCATCCAT